CTTTTCTTATTCAGTATCTAATTTAATAAAGGATTCAATCAGCTGGTATGTGCACTTAGGAAGTGACATAAGGCAGAGACTTCCAGGGATGCCAGGCAAATGAGCCAGCTTTAGGAGAGAGAGAGAATGAGACATTTGTAAAATAAAAGATATCATAGCAGTTAACATAAAAACTACCATCAGGGAGAAATGGTCTGTGCTCTTTCTTCATCATGCTAGAATGTGATGGTGTTTCAGACCTCATTACTTCTCTACTTCAGTGGAGGATTAATGCTTTATGACAGGTGACATGTTTGATGACATCTGTTTTCCCCAGATTAAAAAAAAAAAGAAAAGAAAATCCACCTGCTTCTCCTTTCATTTGGGGCCTGCAAAGGGTTAAGGACTTTGAATGCAGACATATATGGTGCTGTATTGATATTATGTACTTTGTAATAGAAAACAGAACTTTCCAGGTCAAATATCAATAACATTCTATAAGCCTTTCTAGGAAAATATAATTAAAACCATTCAAAGCTGTTTCCCATAACTGAATTTACTGTGTTTTATTGATTTCAGTCCCACATCTACAACGGGATATTATTATTGACTTTTAGAGCTCTGCCTTTTTAAAAAATACAGAAAACACAAAATCAGGTGGTCGTATTCCTTTTATTAGAAATCTTGTCCTTCTTTCTCCCTGAAGCAGGGATCATATTGAATTGTTTGAACAAGAAAATGGTGGGGTAGACCTTCAGCTGGTTTAAATTGTCATAGTCCCACTGAAAGCAGCTAAATAAGTGGGCCATCAATCTGTGAAAATCTGTCCATGTTCTCTATTTAAGCCATTTATTCCTTTGCACCCAAGGCTATCAGTTACAGCACTATCTCTGGCTTTATTGTCAAGCTTTATTGACTTGTTTTCATATTTTGTACTGTGAGTAGGATTTAGACTAGGAACACTAAATTGCATAAATATTTCAGACAGAAAGAATTTTCTTTTTTAATTCTGTCACTCCCTCTTCTCAAAGCAAATATTTTGTCATATCATCCACATTTAAATCAGGAGTATATTCCTCCAAGCATATTATTTGCAAAATAAATATATTTTGTATATTTGGTAAGTTCTTAAAACCTATTTGTTAGCACAGCCTATTTATAAAAAGAAAAGCACAATAGTCTAAAAATGTGAATGTTTATATAAAATAGCTGATACTGTACCATATTCACTAATCATATTTATTTTGAAGATTTTTACTAAATATATAGCCTGTCTGTGTTTTATACATAAATCTGTAAGTGGAATATATTTTTAGCTATAAATATTAAAAATATGGAACTGTTTCTGCAAATATTACAAAAGCCTAAGAAAAATCCTTTCTAAGAATAGTTTTATTGTTGTTGTTGTGGGTAGCTTGGCACTTAGGTTAATCACAAAATATCTGATCAATATTTAAGATTTTTTAAGAAGTCAGACGTATGCAGATGTCTAAAGTACACGTGTATGCACAACTACCCACGTGTATATCTATATAAAGAATAAGTGGATGTAGAAACTTACAAAGATTTTAAAATAACTTACTTCCATAAAGTTCAATATGCTTGTGTAATATTGGTCTGACTTTCCTGAAATCCATAGTTCCCAGAAGTTTATAGGGATTGCATTCTAGAAGAGAGGGAAGAATTCAGACAGTTTCCTTTCTATTTGAATTGCGACTGAGAGTACCTAGATTTAACATTAACTTCCTTTAAAAACATTCAGACATGGATATTTATTGGTTGTGACAGCCTGGCATACTTTTAGTCCATTAATGGCTTTTTCTAATGCAGTTGGGACTTAGTTGTTATAATAAGGAGCACCCCTCATGTCCCAAGGCAGACAGTGGCAGTACTTTGAAATATCTGATGGTCAGTGGGAAATGTATTCTGAAGGAGATGAAGTAAAAGAAAATAAATCTGAAAGTGTTAAGAGCTGAACAGGCATACTGTGTATTGAACAACAAAATTTTTTTTTTTTTTTCTGCTTCAGCAAGTACTTAGTTACTTTATAATAAACTTAATACATACATGTGCAGTTGGGAGACAGAAAGACTTCTGTATGAACCATAATTATTCCTTCTGCTCTCAAAATTACTATAATTCTGTGCCTGAGTTTTAAAATTGCGTTCAAAAGATAATATGAGCTGTTGTCCTTGTTGCTGTTTGATCTGAATACTCAACTAGGAATCCATTTTGGTGAATAGTATCTTAATTTATTTTGCAGGTCATTTTAAGTCACCTGAAAATTGCAGGCAAGTCTGAGCCATAATTTTTGTATTTAATTTTTTGAAAAATATCATAGTATTTCAGTTGGAAATGCAGAAAATTTTGCACTTGAAGTATTTGTTTAATACTGTAATAACTGTGTATTTGGTTGTCTATATTTTCTGCTCATTATATTAGAAACTACGTTAGTATGTAAGAAGAACCAGAATAAATAATTTAAAAATCTGTAGAGTTCTGGCATCATTTTCATTAGTTAGTCCATGTCATTTATATTTTCTTCCTGTCTAGCTTAAAAAGGGCTCGGCAGTTTGATTTTAGATTGATGCATGTCCTTTTTTAAAAAAGGTGGTGGTAGTTGTCAAGAGGAATGTATAGGTTTTTTGTGGACTGTCCTGTTGTTCTCTTACCTTTAAACAAAACTGCTTATAAACACTCCAGAACAGACTGGACAGTGGCTATAGATTTTCAGTCACATAACTCCCTCTTTTTCAAATCTGATAGTGCTGTGCTGTCCTGAGCCATCTCAAAAAGGATTATTTACGGGCATTATGGCATCATTTAAAAAAATGATTCTACATTAAAAGTTCACTGTTTTAGCTTACAGGTGGCATGAGGAAGATGAAACCAAATAGATGCATATTATTAAAAGACAACAGGAAAAACAATCTGATCCTGAACTGCATCATTTGTTTTCACTGCAACTTCCCTTTGTCTCCCATTTTTCATATAGCCCATGAATACTTAGAAAAAGACATAAAACTAAATCAAATTTTTACACACATATGTAAATTTGGCAGAGTCAATTACTTGTCTAGGCCTGCCACTTTTATATTTTTAGCTCTGATCATACTTGCCATGTGAGAAGCATCACTGCAGTATGCAGAGAAATTGTAATTGCAGTAACATATGCAATAGAATATTTTTTTCCAGCTTAAATTGGTTATTCTCTTTATCTTTAGAATTATTGTGAAATGCTGTGATTTTATTATCAGGCCTCTTGAGGTAGTTAGAATATTGTGTAATACTTCTATGAGTTCAGAAACCAGACTTTACTGTATAAGAGTGGTTAATGCATATGGATACACCCCCAAAGTTTCCAGTAACAATTACATTCCAAGAAAGGTGCTAAATATATTGCTACCAAGAATCTCCTGGTTTTTTCCCTCCCTCAATCTTTGATGTAATTTTGGAGAGCCAAGAATTTTCACTTCACCTACTTAAAACTTTTAAACATGAAATAAAAATTTGCTTTAGATTTTTATCCTATCCAGGAAGCCTGATCCAGTAGCTATCACCTGGCAAAAATTCACGCTGTATTAAATGCAAGTGTTCCTTGTCAGGACTGCAGGCATAGGGCTGCAGTTATAGTCAGCCGTTTGTGGTGAAATTATTCAGAGTCCACACGAGGCTGCTGATGTTGTTATTCTAGCTGAAAACTTCACTACAAAGGCAAAAGCCCTTGAAAATAAAATTAGCAAGATCACTTGTTCACATTTTATAATTCAGAGATGTAAACTGGTTGGTAGTATTAGTATTAATGTTTGTTTTAAATTAGAGATGTGTTAACCTTTTAAGGTTGTGGATTTTTGGGGAAACAAGTTCTTCATGTCATTTTTTTATATGGCCAAAGCAAAAGCTGTAAATGGATTTAAAATCATAACATACTTCTTTAGATCAGCGTTATATTTACTACACAGTTTCTGCCCATGTTACTTTACAAAGTGAGAGCAGATGATAATTGGGGTAGTTTGCAGGCAATAACAACCTGCATTTTCTCACAGGAGCCTTACCAACAGTGTGACATAAGGAAGGTAAAAGCAAATTGAATTAGAAAAACAGCAAACATTGTGTTTTATAACCCAAAATAAAATTCTTCAGCAGCAACTAGTCCTGTAATGTAATCCAATCTGTTTTAATACTGAGATTTTTCCAAGAAAGCAGGAAACAGTAAAGGGTAAGGCTTTCAAACCTCTGCTGTTTCGTTTACAGATCCCTTGTGTTAATTTAATGCTTCTAGGGAACTGGGGCTCTTTCTTTTTTCTCAGAATCCCTTCTCTAGGAAATACTGAGTGGTGTGGTGCTGAGAAAGAGTCATGGTTTACAACAGATAAGCCAAAAGACCTGGCTTCAAATTCCACGCTTCTCTGAGAAAACAAAACACTCCAATGCATGCTTCTCTCTAAAACGGATGATTTCTTGCTAACAGGCTACAGAAAATTTACTTTAGAAGTTCCTTAGCAGACAACATGTTGGGCCTTGACATTTTTCCCCTTCTTCTATCCCTCCAGTGCATGCACCAGCATCTAGCAGTTCTGTGCAGTCAGGGTTTTTAAGCATAAAATATAAATATTTACAGCTATTACTTTTGGAGCATTACCCTGAAAGTTTTACTGGCACAAAATTCACAGTCCTGCTGGTGTAACTCTGCCAACTGCAACCCCAGCAGATGCAACATTCCCTTCCTGTACCCTGCCAGTGCATTTCCCCCATGCTTAAAACACCCCCTCTTTTTCCCCAAACCAGAGATACCCACCTGGATAACTGGATTTTGAAGCTAAAACTGATTTTGTCTGGAAAAAACAGAATGAGTTGCTTGCAAAAACCGAGCCTGGCTGATGTCAGCCGTGTGCGTTAGCAGCCCAGCTGCTGCAGCTTTCGGAGATGCCTGGGCAATGCGTGTTTTGGCCTCTCGCCGTTCCTTTTCCTTATTTTGCTGGTTCAAAAGAAGGGCTCGCAGTGTGATTTCTGAAATTACAACAACCCTGGCTTCTGGGGTTTTGTTGTCAGCGAGTTTTGTGGTGTAAGTTCGGAGGTTTGAGTGAGGCTGTGGGGTGCCCCATGGAGGGTGTCAGTAAGCAGCCCCCACTGCCAGGCCCACGTGTGCTTGGGGAAGAACAGCTGCCACGAGCAATTAGGAGGAGACATCTGGAAAGGGACCACTAGGGACGCATCTGTGGGACCACTCCTGGTCCTCAGAAGGACAGGAAGAACAATATGTGGGGAGAAGGAATAAAGGAGGTACAGCAGAAAGGAGTAGCTGCCTAACCCCAGCTGCCTGTGCTGCCTGTCCTCCAGCAGACTGAGGGTGATAGAAAACAAGGGAAATTCAGGCTAGGAAGAAGCTAATCTCCTCTTTCCCCCACCAATATCTGAATCAGTAATTAGAATTTTATTTTAATTGGCAGTGAAATGAATTATGTAAAATTCCTAGAGCTGGGACTGTTTTGCTTGTGAGAGAAAGATAAAAGCAAAGATTAACAGCATGCTTTATAGCCAGCAGGCTCTTCTGTCTTTTTGTCTGTAGCATGGCATGAGATTCTCAGGAATTTTGTTCTTGTGGTGCAGAACACCCTGATAGACTAATACGTTTCCTATGGTCATTGATTTTTTCATTACTATGTAAAGGCAGGGAGAATATTCAAGGCTGAGCTGTATCTTCTCCCAGGCCCAGGGTAGGCCAAAAGGCTCTCAGATTCACATGGTGGGAGCAGACGTTTGGCCAAAGGGAAGAACATTGCCCTTTATCGTAGGTTCTTGGTCCCCATCCCACTGCTGGTGCCAGACAGCTTAGAAAAGGAAGTTTAGCAAGCACTTGTAGGTGTGCCATCAAGAATCCTGTTGCAAGCCAGGGCAGATGCAGCTCCCCTGAAGTTATTTTCATGGTTTAGACCTTATGGTTGTGAAATTAAATGGTAGTTCATGGGATTAGCACCAGAGTGAGATGTTGTGTCACTCCAGAGATTTCCCAAGATCAAGGAAGTATTTTGAGAATCTTCTTCAGGTTATTCCCATATAAGCAGAGGGAAAGAAGTCTCAATGCTGCAGTAGATAAAACACTGCCCTGATTTTTTTCCTAAACCTTTCCTGAGTTTTGATGTAGAAGGGAGAGCTCTCCATCTTTTCATCAGCAGGTTCAGTTTACACTTGCAATGTCCATTATGTGAACTAATATTGAGGAACACCAGAAGAGAAAAAAACCACAAGGAAATTCCAGTCTTAGAGGGTATAACATGCTGAATACTGTACTGATGCAATTTGTAGCAGTTTTAGAGCTTAAATTTTCCTATGGCAAAGGAGCTTGAATCCTGCAAAGTATTCTTGATAATGTAAAAATATCACCCCTACCAATTATGGCAACAAACTTTGGAAAACAAATAAGCTAATCAAAAACTTGTAAAATAAGCTTCCTCTTCTGCCTCTCCTATTTCCAGATTTTTATTTTGTTTAGTCGTTTTTTGTGTAAGCCCCTCAAGGCTGGCAGTATTTTACAAAGTTATCACTGATTTATACTAAACCATGTGTTGACCCTTTGGAAAAGCATATTGTGTGTCTTTTTTTTTGTGTGTGTGTGTGAACAGACTTGGAGAATACAAACATAAAAATGACAGAATCATAGAATAACCATTGGGTTGGAAGGGACCTTATAGATCATCTCATTCCAACCCCTCTGCCATGGGAGCTCATGGGATACCTTTCACTAGACCAAGTTGTTCAGAGCACTATACAATCTGGCCCTGAACACTTCCAGGAATGGGGCATCCACAATTTTCTGGGCAACGGTTCCAGTGCCTCACTACCCTCTAAGTAAACAATTTCTTCCTAACAAATAAATGTTAGGAAGGGTGTTTGCATGTAAACATCTTAAATCTAAATCTGCCCTTTTTCAGTGTAAAACCTTTCCCCCTTGTTCTGTCAGTATGTATCCTAGTCAAAAGTTCCTCTCCAGCTCTCTTGTAGCCCCCTTTAGGTACTGGAAGGTGCTATAAGGTCTTCAGCAAGCCTTCTTTTCTGCAGACTGAACAGTCCTAGCTCTCAGCCTGTCTTCATACAATTCCAGCCCTGTGATGATCTTTAAGGCTCTTCTGTGGACTCATTCCAGAAGATCTAAGGATGGTTATATGAAGGCAGACAAGGTCCATCTGTCTCAGCAACTTGTTTCCAATTAGGATTGTAGCCCAATGGCTGAGGGAAAACTGCTAGAAGACCTGTCCATAGCAGTAGGTATCTGCCATGCTTTTCCTGGAGGCTGGAACTTGGAAGCTACATGAGCTGCAGTTTGTATCTTGGTGCTGCATTGCCTTTCATGATTTTTTTCTCTCGCTTAATTTGAGAACATGCTTGTTGTAATCTGGTGCCTGGAGATTGTGATAGATTTAACTTTTGACCTGCTTTCCCATTGAGTTGCATTTGATGCACTTCAGTTCCTCAAACATGGTTGACTTAAAAGAGAGAGATTGGTATTCTCTCACCAAGGATGCAGCCTGTGGTGACTGAATTTTCAAAGGCAAATTCCAATTGTACAAAGAGCTGTATGCAGGAAGACCCTTTCTCTTTAGTCTTTGTCTCCTCTTCATTCACCAACACTCTTCCTAGGTTCAGGAGACCTAAGTGAACATTTTTGCTTTTAGGATTGGATCTGTAAAGTCAGGAATGCTTCTGATAAAGCATAATGACATGTGACTACCTGAAGCTGTCAGTTTGGTGTTATTTACATAAAGCCTTGCACAAAGACCTGAAGTATTTCCTTTGTTTGTCATGCATTGCACATTTGGCCTGTGTGCAATGCATGACAAACCAACTTCATATGCAAAAAGGCAATGTCTGTCTGTTTCCTTTGTATAAAATAGTCCCCACAGTGTTACTGTGAGTGGCTGCTTTCTGATTTGCACAACTATAAGCATTGTTTGTTTCTTTTCTGCATGGGATTAATCTGCACTGTTCATGTAACCATTGAGCAGTAACCTAAAATGTTGTGAATGTTGTGTAACATGGGCAGTCTTCCAGATCTATCAAAAGAGCTGCTTCATCTCTTCACTGGATTTTTTGGCAGAAGGGAGATAATAAAACTCTGCTCTCTGCATACCAGCTAGGTACAATGTGTCCTGCATCATGTTAAATAGGGTTTATTAATTCATAGCTGCTGGGCTTTTTAAATTGAAGATGAAATTTTGTAGGTGTTCAATTCACAGGAAGTAGAATAGATTTCCTTATATGTTGCAAAAATAATAATAAGCAAGAGAATTATGAAAGGCCTTCCATGACAAAATATGGACTAAAAAAAAATCAACCTTTATGTTAATATGGTAATATTTGTTTTTCACATAAACTTCTTCAGACATGCAGCAAGGTTTTCTGCTTACACTGTAATCCTCGGGGTTTATCCCATTTCCTTTTGTTATGTTGGTGGGAGGTACAGAAGTTGTATAAAACAATCATTCAAAGGGATGTCTTAAAATAAAGAGTATATTCTATGAAAAGATATTAAAAATGAAGTACATAATGTACATTTTATTTTTTACTTGCATCTTAAAAGTGTGACTAATCTGGACCTTTGAACTTGAAGACTGGCAGTTATTAATATGAGAGTTTTGTGACTGACCATGTGCAGAGTGGTTATAGTTGCCCTGTCTTCCATTTATATATTATTCATTTACAAGCCAGAGCTTTGACATTTCAGGTTGATATAGAAAGGTTGACTTCTGCTGTGGTTGGATTCCAAGTTGTAGTGTGATTTTACTTGTAAAAGCGCTGCTCAGTCTGTTGCTAGAAGCCAGCACAGTGGGAATAAAACGGCAGAGCCAAAGTCATCCTGCATGATCGATTTGCTGGTCACAGCAACATGAGAAATGTAATATGAGAACCAGCCCTGATGTTCTCAACAGTCGCCATCTCCAGGTGTGGAGACCTTGATATATATCAGGCAAGGGAAAAGAAGATGATTATTTTACTTTTACAGCTAGCAAATTAAGCAGCAGAATGAATGGCTTCCCTAAAGTTTATGTCAGGTTCAGGAACTGAACTGTTAACTCCCATTCCACTGTCCAAACCACAGATGGTTTTTCCTATCATCAATTTTACCAAAATACATAACTCCAGAATACATTTATTTTAGGCTGTTGCAATAATGCCTCATTTTTATAGTTATCACTGTTCCTAATGAATTTGCTGCTACTTATTTTAATGGGCTTTCAGTGTGCTGGCTAGGATTCCAGGATACTTGTTGTTTTACTTCATAAAAACACCATGTTGTCTTTCAACAGAAAGGTTTTTCTTTTAACAATCCTTTTAAGTACATTTCATGAAATAACAAAGACAGCCATTAAAACACAGTATTGAATAGCTTCTGCCAAGTTTTAGTGAACTTTTTTTTTTCTTTAAATTAGGAATGGAAAACATTTCCTGATCCTTGCATTTGTTCTCTTACTATTCCAGGCAACCTCCTCCTGCTATGCCATTTGCAAAGTGATCAAAATCCTGTTAAGTTCTTTGTCTTCACTGTTGTCATTAAAATTATGTTCCAAAACCTCTGTGCAGTCAGGCTAGAAGCTTTCTTCTAATTTCAGGCTGAATATAATTGTGGCCTGTTTATATCCACTTGTTCTTAGTTAACACTGTTGTTTTGCTTAAATAGCTCTTTTACCGCCTCTGCAAAATATTTGTGGAAACAAACCTTGTAGCACTCTTAGAAGTCTACCTCTTCCAAGGTTAACCAAGGGTCCTCTTCTTGTCCAGGCAAAGCTTATCTGTTCTTTTGACCACCCTGGCAAACTTGCT